GATCTCAATTTGGTAACTATAGAAAAAGAATGCCAACAGAATAAGCCGACGGACAAAAATAGACAAGTCGTAATAAAGAAAACTCGGAAATTAGATTATACGACATAAGACTGAAGATCACCAAATTATTGATTGGAAAGAAAAGTAGTAAAAATATAGAAACAACATGGGTCAAAACCAAGTCGCAAAAAATAAAAAGCACACAACAAAAGTTTAGATCTCCGATTATGTAATAATATGTACATAACATCCATGTCAGCTAAATTTATATTTTTCTCTTTCAGATTTATTTTTTTTTCTTTCTAAAAACTGATAATAATTTTATAAATTGGAATATGAACAATGACTTTTGAAATTCCTTTCATAATTTTATATATTAATAATATTTGTTTTACCAACTGAAAAGCCAAGCCCAAGCCCAATTCCAAGCCCAAATACAATCGCTATTTTTTCACTAAACCCGATTCCGTTGGTGAATCTGGACAGTCCCCTCAAATAAAACTTGTGAGAGCTGTTTCGTCGCTTTGATCGAAATGGCGTCGTCTTCTCCAACTCAGCTAGCTCACGTCCCGATTCCTCCTGAACCAGGTCCCTTCTTCTCCTTCGATTTCTTTCTCTATCCCTCAATTTTCTTTGTGTTTGTTTCACCATGCTTCGCTACTAGTAATTATCTTCCTTCAATTCCATTGCGATCGCTTAGCTTCGCTGTTTCGAATTTTTACCGTAATCGATCTGCTAAAATCCCTCAGATTCTCCCAAATAATTTTGTAGTTTTTCGCTTTTGATCAATTAATTGAAAATTAACTGATTCAATGTTAACGTTACTTCGTTTCTGATCGAAATGTGGGTTTAGTCATCTGTTTTCGCTCAATTCTTGTGGTGGTATAGGTGCAAAGTTAAGGAGTTTCTTCGTTATTACTTCGTTATTGCTCTATGCATACGAGTGATTCTTTCGTTGAGTTTATGATTTGATCTTTAATGTCTTGTGGAAATTTGGAATTGCGAAATTAAGCGGAATAATGATAAATGTATTTGTTGGATTAGATCATTATAGTATCTATGTTTGCAATTATACATGCTAGTTAGTTCAACATCTTTTGATCTAAAATGTGCTTAAGCGATTTTTCGTTTGATTCCTGTTTTGATCTAATGTCTTATGGACTAAGGAATAGCATGATTAAGTATAATGATGAATGTATGAGAGTTGGATTAGATCATTGTAGTATTTTTGTTCAGCAATTTGTTTGTATTTGGTGTATGCAAGTAGTGGATATTGTCATAAATCTCGTGTCTCATGTCTAAGTTTCACTCTGTAGGGGGAAGGTCACTGACACAAGAAGCTAACGAGCCACAAGTTCCGATTCACATAGTGACAGATCCTTTGCAACTTCCTGCTGATTTCCTGAACCCTTCTCCTGAAAAGAAATTGGTCATTGGTTTTGACTGTGAGGGTGTTGACCTCTGTCGACATGGAAAACTTTGTATCATGCAGGTATGACCTTTGTTTGTGTGTGGTTCCCTTTTAAATCGAATTTTAGATTTTAGATTATTTGTTTAATGATATTTTGGTAGTTTATAATTCTTACTGAAGATCTTGTCTTGGCAGATTGCATTCTCTAATGCAATATACTTGGTTGATGTCATCGAAGGTGGAGAGGTGCTTATGAAAGCCTGTAAGCCTGCACTCGAGTCTACTTACATCACAAAAGTTATTCATGATTGCAAACGTGATAGTGAGGTGTCTGAACTTTTTGTTTACTTGTTATTATAGCTCATGACATATTTATAATTCATGACAACATCGCTTATATTAATTTTCGTACTATAGGCTTTATACTTTCAGTTTGGGATAAGGTTGCACAATGTTGTGGACACTCAGGTATGTTTTCTATGTGACATTGAAAAATCTCTTGCTTAGGCTATTTCCTGCCCTAGAAATCTTGGTCCTGATTTTTGTATACTATTTTCTGGCTCACAGATTGCTTATTCTCTGATTGAAGAACAAGAAGGGAGGAGGAGACCTCTAGATGATTACATATCGTTTGTTTCACTCCTTGCTGATCCACGTTACTGCGGTACATTTTAGATTATCATGTTAGTTTTTATTTATGATTTATCTTAATATTTAATCCTCGCGGCATCTTGTTCTGGGCATGAATATACTGATTTCAGCTGAGCAAATGTTTATGCAAGTTCAACCTTATCTGTAGAGCCTGCTTTTTGGAACTTCTTGTTCTGGTTCATATCTTGCACCTTGACAAAGTGATATTGAGATTTTGCCTGTCATGTGGTGGTGAATCAATCACTTTACTTTTGTTTATTCTGTTTAGGTATATCCTATGAAGAGAAAGAAGAAGTTCGAGTTCTCATGCGCCAGGTTCATTACATTTCTGCTAAATCTTTGCTAGTGTTTAAATTTAAATTATGCTTCGAGAATGTATAGATTGGATAATGACTTTTTTTGTGTTGCCTTATCTTTCAAATTTAGGACCCAAAGTTTTGGACATACAGGCCGATGACTGAGCTCATGATCCGCGCAGCCGCCGATGATGTCCGCTTCCTTCTGTATCTCTATCACAAAATGATGGGAAAACTGAATCAGCGGTCACTATGGCATCTTGCAGTTCGTGGTGCTTTGTACTGTCGGTGTCTCTGCTGCATGAACGATGCTGATTTTGCTGATTGGCCAACTGTCCCTCCAATTCCAGGTTTGTGCATACATTAAGAATGTAGTTCAGGATATAACTAGGTTACTCTCAGCAGTCATGAAGATAAATAAAAATATTTCCTTCATTCTTTTATAATCGGTGTGGTCACACAGTTTTCCTCGTTAAGGTCGTATATGCTATAGACAGAAAGATAAAAAATCATGTGACATTAGTTTCGATTGGTTCACTGATTGTAGTTGGACTTTTAAGTGTTGCAGATAACCTGAAGTCAGAAGATCAATGTCTGGAAGAAGAGATCCTGTCAGTGCTTGATGTTCCACCAGGAAAGATGGGACGTGTGATTGGAAGGAAAGGAGCATCAATCCTCGCCATCAAGGAAGCTTGCAAGTATAAACCATTTCGTTCATGTTGTAGTAGTGCTAACAAGAAATTTGATATCTGACTTTCATATGATAGAAGTTATTTTTTTTGTCTAGCAGCGCGGAAATTCTAATTGGAGGGGCAAAGGGTCCACCTGACAAGGTTAGTCTTATTCCATCGGGGCACACAATCTACACATAGTTATAATATTTAGCTTTAAATGAGAGATTGGTGGAAGCCAAAGATGTAAGGTAGTGTTTTGTGGAAATGGGTTTTGGTGCAGATATTTGTGATTGGACCAGTGAAAGAAGTGCGTAAGGCGGAGGCTATACTGAGAGGAAGAATGATAGACTATTGAAGGAAATGAGGGTCCTTTGTAATCTGTCTCATTGCCCCTACCAAAAATACAAAAACCCTCTTTAAACTTGGAAACTCCATGGTTCAGTATGGACCCGAGAGTGTCTTCCCCTCTTTAATAAAAGTTATATCATTAACTTCCCATTCCATTTCCCGCAAGGGACTTTATAGTTTGATGAAACAAAAAGACCATATCAGGTGTGGTTTATTGACTTATGCGAGGTAGTTTTATCTGATTAACCGTTGAGATTGATTTTAATTACTTTGCGACTCAAAATGAGAGTCTGAAACCCAACGGTCTTAAATTTTGGTAGAGTAACGTTCAAGCCTCAATTGGTTTGTAAGCCCGTTCTGTTTCCTTTTGTTTTAGTGAAACTGATAGTTGAGTTTTAGTTACTTTTTGTAGGTTTAATAATGATTCGTAACCCTAATTTATGTTTTCATACGAGTTAGTTCAGATTTGTGTGCAAATTGAGAATTGATCTTTAAAGTTTTACTACATCGTAGCCCTGGGCAAAAGAACCCGGACTGAGGATCCGACCCGAACCTAACCTGAAAATGAGATACCAAACCCGAACTGAAACTGGCAAAGTACCCGAATGGACCTACACCTCAAGACCCGAAAACTTGAATCTGAATGGACCCGACCCAAGAACCGAATGGATATCTAAACATACTTGAAATATAAATATATGCTAAAAATATTAGTAAAATTTATATTTGTAACCTACATACTCAAAATTACTTTTTTGGGTATTTCGGTACTTCCTGGTAATTTGGGTGATAGAAGTAAAAATAATTTTGGGTATCTCAGGTAATTTGGATATATTATAGTTAATATAAGTACAATTTTTCAGGTATTTCATATACACTAAAAGAATATTGGCTTTTAATAGCACAATACTATAGCGTTTTATTCACAAATGCTATTATAAGTATAAGGTCGAGTTTAAGATAGCGTTTGTAGTTTTAAAAACGCTATTAATAAAGTTTCGCAGAAAGAAAAATAAACACGCGCCTAATAATTTTGGGTTTCTATTTTTATAGCATTGTCTTTAATAGCAGAATTATCATAAAACGCTATTAAAAGTGAACCGGGAAAACCTAAAAATAATTGGCCTTGAACCGGGAAACTAAATTTGGCTTTTCCCTCTGAAAGTCTCGATATTTTCTAAGTCCTCAAAACAAGCTCTCAACACTCTTACTCGAAATTTTCTAAGTCTCAAATCTCTCAATCGATTCAAGCTCTCAAATCTCTCAGTCGATTCAAGCTCTCAAATCTCTCACTCGATTCAAGCTCTCAAATCTCTCAGCCGATTCAAGCTCTCAATCTCTATCTCACTCGATTATAAACGGTACTTTTGTGAAATTTCGTCTCGATTTAGGGTTCTTAAAAGTTGTAATTGATTCCAGTCGATTATTACCTTTGTTTGTAGGAAGATTTTGGCTTATTTGTCACGGTGAAAGGTATGTTACATTGTGAGGGTTTTTGATTTGGGTTTCAAATTGGATTTTCGATTTGGGGATAATGTTCGATTTGGGGATAATTGGGTTTTTCAATTTGGTTCTCATTCTGTTTCTTTATATTTGCGCAGATAACTATACAATCTCCTGTTGTCAAACTCGAATTACATAAGGTAAATTATTCGTTTACTAAGCTTGATTTCTCTTTGTATTTGCTGAAATTTAGCTTCGTTTCTTTTCAGTTTGGGTCTTATAGTTGTTTAGGTTATGTTTTATACATTTGTCTTATCTTTGAAACTCTTATCTCATATGTACATCTTGTGGAGCTGTGGTGTTCTTGTGACATGGACAAGTCTTGGGTTTGGCTTCCAAGGTATGTTACTTGCAGAGATTTTTGTAAATAGTTCTGTTAAGAAATGTTTTGAGATTGATTTTGAACATTGAAATTTTTATTAACCTACAGGACTAGCCTTGAGTATCATGAAGGTGCAAGTTCTTTTGTTTCTGAATCAGCAAAGCGTTTGGGTAATCTTGAAGAAATGTTATGTCCCTGCATGCATTGCCGCAATGTATGCCATCAGTCTAGAGAAACAGTCGTGGATCATCTAGTTATTAGGGGAATGGATCAGAAATATAAGAGGAGGACATGTTGGAGTTTGCATGGGGAGTTAATTAGTGACAACACAGCTGATGAAGCAAGACCAGAATTAGAAGCTCATTACTTGTTTAGAGCAGCTTTTGGAAGTGAAGGAAAGCCAGAGAATCATGATGAATACCAGTCAGAGTATGTTGAAAGTAATGAAGAATCAGAGTTTAGGAAGAAGTTGGAGGATGCTGAAACTCCACTGTACTCGAGTTGTCCTACTTACACTAAAGTTTCTGCGATTATGGCCCTTTACCGCATCAAAGTGAAAAGTGGTATGTCAGAGAACTTCTTTGATCAGCTTTTGACTATTGTTCATGACATGCTGCCTGAAGACAATGTACTTCCAACATCAACGTATGGGATGAAGAAATTCTTGAAGATATTTGGGTTTGGTTATGATGTTATTCATGCATGTAAGAATGACTGCATTCTTTACAGGAAGGAGTATGAAAATATGGTAAGCTGTCCAAGATGTAATGCATCTAGATGGGAAAGGGACAAGCACAGTGGTGAAGAAAAGAAGGGGATTCCAGCTAAGGTACTTAGATATTTTCCTATAAAGGACAGATTCAAGCGTTTGTTTAGATCCAAAAGATTGGCAGAGAATTTGCAATGGCATTTCAACAATGCTAATGAAGATGGTACCATGAGGCACCCTGTGGACTCTACAACATGGGCTCAAGTGAATTCTAAGTGGCCTCAGTTTGCTGCTGAGCCAAGAAACCTGAGGTTAGCGCTGTCAACTGATGGGATGAATCCTTTCTCCATTCAGAACACAAAGTACAGTACATGGCCGGTGTTGCTAGTAAATTACAACATGCCTCCAACAATGTGTATGAAGACAGAGAATATAATGCTGACAATGTTGATCCCAGGACCAACTGCTCCAGGTAACAGCATTGATGTCTATCTAGAACCATTAGTTGATGATTTAAATGATATGTGGAATGATGGCATTGAGGTGTATGACTCATTCATGAAGGAGACATTCACACTAAAAGCAATGTTGCTGTGGACTATTAGTGATTATCCAGCCTTAGGTACTTTAGCTGGTTGCAAAGTTAAAGGAAAACAAGCTTGTAATGTCTGTGGGAAAGACACACCATTTAAGTGGCTGAAGTTCAGTAGGAAATTTGTTTATATGGGTAATAGGAAACGGCTAAGACATGATCATATTTATAGACGCAGAAAAGTTTGGTTTGATAACACTATAGAGGAAGGGACTGCAAAAAGGATTGAAACAGGAGCTGAAATATTTGAGACATTGAAAGAGTTTAAGAATGATTTTGGAAGGCCATTACCAAAGAAGAGCAAAAGAACAAGAACAGAACCAGTTGAAGATGAGGTTATTGAAGAAGAAGAACCTACAGAAGATTGTTACATATGGAGATGGAAGAAAAGGTCTATCCTTTTTAAGTTAATATATTGGAAGGTTAGTCTTTTGTATAGCTTTGGTGATTTTGTGAAATTTATCTGATAACTAACTAGTAACTAATCAGTTTTTAATGTCTCAGGATATGCCGGTGCGACACAACATTGATGTGATGCATGTTGAAAAGAATGTGTCTGATGCCTTATTATCTTTGTTGATGCAAAGTGTTAAATCTAAGGATGGACTGAAGGCAAGAAGAGATTTAGAAGACATGGGAATTCGGAAAAATTTACATGTTCAGAATCGAGGTAAGAGACAATACTTACCTCCAGCTTCTTATTAGCTGTCCAAAGCAGAAAAAAGAAGATTCTGCAATAGGCTAGCAAAATTTAGAGGCCCTGATGGATATGCTTCAAATATTGCCAGTTGTGTTTCAGTGGAACCCCCTATGATTGGTGGCTTGAAGTCACATGATCATCATGTCTTGCTGCAAAATTTGCTGCCTGTTGCTCTCCGAGGTTTGCTGCCTAAGGGTCCTAGAATTGCAATTAATAGAATATGCAACTTCTTCAATCGACTATGTCAGCGTGTGATTGACCCTGAGAAGCTCATGTCAATGGAATCTGAGATTGTAGAGACATTGTGTCAGCTAGAAAGGTTCTTCCCTCCTTCACTGTTTGATATCATGTTCCACCTTCCTATACATCTTTCAAGAGAAGCTCGTTTGGGAGGTCCAGTGCATTTTAGATGGATGTATCCCTTTGAAAGGTAAATAATTTGTTGTTAATTGATATATGATTTGTTAAAAACAATATTATGGGTAATCATATTGTCTTAATGTGTAATAGGTACATGAAAACACTCAAGGCTTATGTAAAAAACTATACAAGGCCAGAAGCTTGTATGGCAGAAGGATACTTAGCTGGAGAATGTATTGCATTTTGTCTAGAGTTTCTACAAAATTCAGTACCTGTTCAAGAAACAATGAACCGCAATGAAGATAATGGTGTGGCAGATGATCTTGGTCTTGAAGGTCGTCCATTGAACCAGGGTCAAGAATTTTCATTGACTGATAAAGAGAGAGACATAGCACATCGGTATGTCTTGATGAACATGGCTGTAATGAATGCATATGTTGAGTAAGTTAATTTTCACTTATAACTTGTAGTTTCATTTAACTATTTTGTTTGGAAGCTTTTCAATTAATGAATATTTTTGTATAACAGGATGCACTTAGAAGAATTACAAACTACTAATGTCAGATGTGCAAAAAGTGAGACACATCTATGGAAACTTCATGGAGAACGATTTGCTCAGTGGGTGAATGAGAAGGTAATTACTCTAAGGACTTTTTATACTATGTTAAGCTTTCAAAATTTTGGTATTGATGTTTTCTGTATGTTTTCTCTTACTAGATCCCTTTTAACTCTAAGAATCATTCAAGCAAGCTGAAATGGTTGGCATTTGGTCCAAGACACATTGCTCAGTCCTATAAAGGATACATCATTAATGGTCATCGATTTCACACTGAAGATGTTAAGAGGAAGACTCAGAACAGTGGAGTAACATATGAAGCTTTCAGTATGTGTAGGTCTAGCGCAAGAGATACTAGACATACAGCAGACATAGTTACTTACTATGGAGTCATCCAAGAGATCATTCTGCTAGACTATCACACATTTCAGGTTCCAATATTTAAGTGTAAGTGGGCAAACAAAGGATATGGTGTGAAAGAAGAAGAAGGCTTCACCCTTGTGAACCTCCATTTAAATCAAGCTGCATTTATGCAAGATTCTTATATCTTGGCTTCACAAGCCAAACAAGTTTTCTATTCCAGAGAAGATGACTCCTCACCTTGGTATGTAGTCATGAGGGCGCCACCAAGGGGTTATCATGAGTTAGAGACTGAAGAAGAGTTAACTGCTGCACCAGTATACATTCCAGAAGTTGAAGAAATTGGAAATCAATCTTCAGATGATGAGAGTTTCTGTGTTAGAGATGATTGTGAAGGAATACTAGTAGCTGATTAATATAGTTAGTATGGTTAGAGATGATTGTGAAGGAATACTAGTAGCTTGAATAATTTTTTGACAGTTGGTTATTTTCAGGTAATACATCATGTCTCAGAGAAACCCGGACAATATCCGACGCAGCAAACGTCAACAAGGGGATGATCCTACTCCCATCTTAGTGAAGGTAACTAAAAAACGCAAGCCGAAAGGTCAGAAACGTGGTGGTGATGGGGATGTAGAATCTTCACAAGTTGTTGGAAGAACTGATAAATTACAAGACACTGGAGTAGAAGAACAAGAAGTAGAAGCAGAACATAGAGAACAAGAAGAAGAAGTAGAAGAAGAACAAGAACAAGAGGAGGTTGAAGAAAATGTCTCTCCACATATTCAAGAAGAACCTGTGGCTGGTTCCACTGATGAAGTTCAACCAGAGAAGTCAGATGGCAAGAAAAAGAAAACTAGGGGACCAAGTAGGATGCGTAGAGTTGCTACACAACCTGATGAATTATTGGATATTGAATTCGCATCTGTGGGTGAGCATGTGGGAAGTGGATCAGTGACACTGTCCTCTTTTCTTGGTATTTTGGTGAGAGAACATGTACCGGTTCTGCTTGATGACTGGAGGTATCTAAAAGCTGAGACAAAAGATGCAATGTGGGAAGAAATTCAGGTAATTATCTTCTTCTTTCTCAATACTTTATTACATATGTGTATATTATGCATTTTAAGTTACTAATGTTAGTTCTTGTAACTGATTGTAGGCTAGGTTTAATTTGAATGAAGAGTGGCAGAAAGACTGTGTTTTCAAGCAGATGAATTCTAGTTGGAGAAGTCACAAATCAAAGTTGTCTACACTAGTAAGAGCTACAACTAGCAAGACTGAGATTCTGCAGTTAAGACCAAGTAACATACCGTCTGTGACAGCTTGGAAAAATTGGGTGAAGAGTAGAAAAAGCTCAGCTTTTAAGGTTATTATTTGAATTTATTTTAAATCTGTTATTGGAAATATTATTATTCTAAAATAATGTCTTCTATTTGTAGGAAAAAAGTGACATGTACAGGAAAATGAGACAAAGTCAGATTCCACAAACCTCCAGCCGCAAAGGATTTGTCCGGCTTGCTCATGACATGGTATGATTGGTTTTGTTTGAATATATTGGTGTTTGAATATATTGGTTTATGATGCATGGTTTTAAACACTTAACTTGTTGATTGTAGAAGAAAAAGAGTTCTAACCCTACTGATGTGACTAGAAGCAAAATCTGGCTAGCAGGACACACACATTCAGATGGGAGACCTGTGAGACCAGAATTTCAGGACACTATTGTAAGTAAGAATCAACTTTATAATTATAGATTTTGTACATTCAGTTTAATTACATTCTAGCTGATTAATTGTATCAGGAACAAATAAAGTCTATTGATAGTGAAGTAGGCTCAACTGCTGGTAATAATATTAGAGAAGATGCAGTGAGCAAAGTGTTAGGGAAAGACAAACCTGGAAGGATTAGAGGTTTAGGCAGAGGTGTTACAGCTACCAAGCTAGCATTTCTTCAAGCAAGGGACGCACATGTGAAGAATCTTGAAGCACAACAAGCTGATTTGCTCCGTAAATTTCAAGACTTTCAGAATGAAGTAAAGAATCAATTAGCTACAGGGATTAAGGTTTAGTTTTACATTTTTCTTATAGAAATGCATACATTATGATGTTTACTTTGTAACACTGTTTTTTTGTGTGAGTTGAAATAGATTGATGATGCCTCCAGAGCAGAAAGTAGAGAAGTAAACCAAGACACTGCAGAAGGAACTTGGTGTCAAATACTGGATTGGTATTCATCAGAAGATGTTGTGGTTGGAGAAGGGGAATTCTGTTCTGTTGATCCAGTGTATAAGATTGGTCGAATTGCAATTGGTCCCAATGCTGCAGCTATTTATCTGAAGTCTGCAACATTAGGAGTAGCATCTCTCTGGAGGCCTACCTCTGATGCGAATAACGTTGGGGAAGCTGTGGGTACTACAATTCCATGGCCACCTGAAAAAGTCAAAGTATACAAAGAAGCATCCGACAATAATGCTACTAGTTCATCAGTAAGTACTCATTTTTTTCTATTGATATGTGTTTCAATAAATGATTTTGATACGATATTTTTATGCATGGTTATGTAGACTGTAAATGAATCAATGGATAAGATCTACATCTACGGTTGGAATTTGGTTGATACAATTGTTGCTGAGGGTCGAATGGTATCAACAGATCCTACAGAAATAGTCAACAATATTCCTATAGGTCCCACTGCTGCAGTTGTGATGGTTGAGATGGTGATTGAGAAAAATGCTTGTTTGTGGAGACCAAGTACTGATCTGCGGGTGATTGGTGATGCACTTCACGAGAAAATCGTTTGGCCAGTAGACAAAGTAGACCCGATAATTGCTCCTTCAATAAGATCATCACATGTGGTAAACAATCTTTTACATTGTTTTTAATAGTCATTGTCTTGCAAAAAACAGTTTAACTTGGGTCTCTGATTTGGTACTCGTTTCATATTAGAACTGTTTCATGTTCTAATGTTTATTTGTTTAATCTGATGGATATTGTGTACAATTGTGATTGATTTTTGTAGAGTGCTAACAGCAACAACACCAGCAGTACTCAATCTGGTCAGAAGAAGAAGTGCTACTTGATAGATTGCTCTAAACCGGGACAGAAGGTTGCAGAAGGCAGAGTTTGGTCATCTAATCCAACAGACACAGTGCATCTTAAACCATTGGGACCCAATGCTAGCAAGGTATCAGTTGACGTGCCACTAGTAGGAAATGCGAAAGTGTGGAAACCAAGTTCAGAGATTCAGACCATTGATGATGCATTAGGTAGTCTTGTGGCTTGGCCTAGTGATAAACTTCTTTTTATGTGATGATGTTGTAGTAGTAGAGAACATTAGTGTGTGGATGTTTGGATGCTTGGCCTTAGTAGAGAAACTTGTTGTGTTCGGATTAATTATGTTTGGATTAATGTTATGTTTTGGATTTTTATGGAGTGTTGGTGTCGGATCCCGCACCAGAAGTACGAGACCAACCAAAGATTGCCACGTAATCAAGATAATGGCCCATAAAGGATGAAGCCCATTGGACCCGTGAG